AACTAGCAGTAGTTGACCAGACACAGGGCGAACACAAAGCCTTAGACAATAATTTTTAACTCAAAACAGATGAACTCAGGTTCAGAGGGGGAGGAGAGGAGGTGTCTTATCCAGGGTAAATTAACTAACTTGCGGGATTAACTTTAGTCCGCCAAATGCGCAACGCACGCTTGAATGCTAGCTCCCAACGCCTTTCACAAACTTGCAATATGCCTTTTTAAGGAACCCCTTATGACATCTACATCCAAGTACGAAAAATACAGACCTGGCCTTAGCGTACAAATCCTCAGGCTGTCAAGTGCAGCATCGCGCTTCTCATGCACAAAGCTTTCACCCCACACAGCAGATGTGAAGAAGGCGTTAGGCGAGTTCCAAAGTATAACGAGCACAACACGAAAGTAAACAACCCTACGGCACGTGCTCCAACAAGCTTGGGCATTTTCGAGAACCACATCTAATCTGCTGGTAGTAAGGTTTATGCTGAACGGGTTTAGGCAAATGTGTTTTGGACAAACAAACTAGGCATTTATTTGTGCGTCTAACCATCTGACAATTCCGCAGCAATAACCAACTCAACCGAGCTTTATGTAACGAATTAAAACCCATGATTTGATAATTATCGGTAATACCCATTGACTCATTGCAAGTTGATAAAAGCGGATATGTTAGAAGTCTATAACATCATTTCGTAAAGGAAAAAATAGTTAAAAGTAAAGCTGATAAAGATCTCAAAACAATGTAACATTCAAAGTGGGCAGACAGTGAAAGGGAGATTCTTTTGGCGCAGAGGCAAAAGATGCTTGATGGCTAGGAGTTTCAGGCACTGCTCACGGGGGTGAGAAAGGCTGTGATTAAAGGCGGGTGCAGGCTTGGGAGAATCAGCAGAGAAAGGAAGACCATGGAGTGACTGTGCGGAGACCACCATTGGCGGCCGACCAGACAACTGCACCGCCAACTCCGGTAGTACTACCTCCGCACAACTCAGCATCTGTGAGACGATCAGACTGTTCATTTCGTCGGGGAGCAGCTCCAAGACACGAATGGCATAAACCTCAAAAAAGGATCCAATTTGAGTTCAATTATAGAGATCGACTGGATTTCTGCGTCAGGCATTGCAACTTTCTAACAATTTCCCCGGTTCATGTATTTTCATCGGTAATGTTAGACTTGGTAAAAACCGTAAACCTATTTTCCGGGAGGTGTCGGATGATCTCGAAACCAAGCAACAAAAGTTATTACACATGTAAATTTACTCGAGAGCTGATCAGAAAAGCATATAGAGGAGAGAACAAATTAGCATGTGAAACCGTCGAAACTATCAACAGAAACAAAAGATATGAGGTTCCTTTACCTTATGAAACAATGCAAGATTGAGTGCTGCCGCAGAAGAGGTATTGTTAGCTGGTGCAATCGTAACAACCCTGCTTGGATGTTGACACCATGCCTATTATTTAAAAATATAAAAAGCGTCATGAAAGGGAAGGCGATGCATTCCAATGCTCCACATACTTCAAGCAATTATTTAAGATAAGCATGAATAGCACAAAGTTGCTAAAAAGTATTTTTGATGATGTAGCGACCGGGATTATCCGGTAGAATGGAGCGGAGTGGCGTACCTCATAGGCAAAGTCGACTTCCGAAACATTGCTGGGAAGAATAGCATCCTCACTGACAAACAGAAAACTGCTTGAAGATGTTTCTGGCAGATGAACAATTGATTGTTCCTTTGAATTGTAAAAGGGCGGTAGTATTCTGATAGGTAAATTTCCCTGTTGCAGGAAGAAGGCTAAAAATGAAACTGGACATCAATTTAGTGACAAGTTAACTTGACCTGCTGAGAAGTACTTACGTGATGCAACATCAGCCATGTCCCCCCTCCAAATTATAAAGACCTCTCGGATGTACTTGGAATTCACCATGAAACGCAGAGTGGAAACAAGGTATTTAATGTGACTTCCTGTTACAAGAAGGAGTGTGAATCTATTACATATAGCTTGACCGTTGGAGGGGAATGCGATTTCTAAGCTTGGCACAGACTGAACGTAATAAAAAAGGCTGTTACAAGAGAAAGCTCAAGTAAAACGGCGAAAGGAGATCACTATTTACCGACACAAGAGGTGGATCGTTCCAATCACAATATGAGGGAGTATTTTGTGGAAAGACCCGACTATTGATAATGTCCAAAGTTGTCGTAATGACAGCTGCTAGGGAAGACATGTACTTCGAGTAGAAAAAA